GTAGTTATATATAACAAATTATAAATAAATCAAATAATTTTTTATTAAAAGAATGAGTGGCTTCAAAAATATCTAGAAATCAATTCATACCTCTTCCATATACATTCTTTGTATGGTGGTATTAAGGTCACATTCCCAACGCCACTTGTCCCCTCCTTTAATTAATTCTACTCTCTGCAGTAGTGGTGTGCTTAGGTCGCCTTCATTGAAGATCATTAATTTGGGGCACTGAATCACAATTAACTTTTTTAAAGATGGAAATTTGAAGGTGAAATTCCCTGAACAAAAGCTTTCTAATCTTGGCAGGTATTTAAGTTCCAGAAATCTTAATTTAGTAAAAGTGATCATGATTAAATCTTGGGTTCCATTTCCTTCATTTCCAACTATTTCAGTCAGCATGTAGCACCATGATACGATCATTCTTTCTAATTGCACTAGACTTTGGACTACTGAGACAGAAACCAAGTTTACCATTGCTCCACAACTGCTTATATTCAAAGTTACGAGATTCTGGAAAAAGGCAGGTGATGTTGACAAGCTAATCAAACTCTCACACCTAAAAACTTGAAGAGTTTCAAGATTTTGAAGAACAATTGATGAGTCATGACTCCATATACGCCTGAGATATGGAAGGCGCTCTAGATTTAATGTTTTAATCCTTGAGAGTGTCTCAATTTCAATGTGTTTCTCTTGCTCTTCAACTTCTCCTTTTGAAGGGAACAGTTCTTCAAAATTACAAAACTCCACGACAAGCTCTTCTAGATGGCAAAATCTTTGTAGTAATCTAACGGGTAAAACATCTGATTCATTATCAAGATAATCATGAATTTTAAGAACTTTGACATTGAAAAAGAAGTCTTCTTTAAATTGGTGTTCATATGTCATTACAATGTCATGTCTTGATAGTGACAATTCTTCCAACTGAGAGATGATCTGAAAAGGAATCCAATGCAATAGAACTTCAGTGGAAGTTGTATATTTTTCCTTAATGAAATCTTAATTTTGTTTATGAAAAGGAGAAAATTATTAAAAAATATTGTGCATTATTTCACATGGCAACCAAATGCACTTTTATTACTTATTGAATAAAAACAACTTTTTCTCTTTGCTTATTCAAAAAAAGAGGAATAAAAACTGCTCTATATTGCATTTTTGGGTGGCAAGCGTTAGTTGTATCTCATATTCACATAACAAATACTCTGAAATCTAATAACAGAGAGATCCCTAAACAATAATGGCAAAATAAAAGAAATAATTTGAATATCACATGCATTTGTCACCCAAATTATATTTCATCAAGAAAAGCATTCAGGTCTTGCTAAACAAGTAATTAATACTGCAATTCAATATTATTTCCATGTATAGTAGATTATTAAAAATTACTTTGATTCCATTATATATATACATATTTATATATATATTTGAAGCAAGGAATTCTTTTATTATTTATTTTGGTAAGAAGCTTTGTACCTTCTC